AAGTATCTGGTGGAGGCGGGTTCTTTTATTTTCTTTTCTTTTGGCTTTTTTTTTGTTTTCCCCTTCTTAACAGATGGCTAATGCATGGCCGTTTATGCAATGTGATGGTGGTTGTGGGTGGTGGTGATGCTGATGTTGGTTCTGGTGTTTGTGGTGATGGTTGTGGGTGGTGGTGATGCTGATGCTGGTTCTGGTGTTTGTGGTTATGGTTGTTCTTCTGGTTGCAGGATCCACGAGACGTCTCGAGTGGCCAGCAGCATCAAGAAGAGCCCTGGCTTGTCTAAAATCAACGGGTTTGAACGGAACGGGGCAGGGCTTAGTGTGCTCAAGGCTCCTGACCTCACTGCTTCGGATGCTTCTGCTGCTGCTCACAGTGCTGCTAGTACCGGAGCTGCTGCTAACGGAGCTGCTAGTAATGGTGCTGCTGCTTCAAAAGTCGTGAAAGAAGAGAAGGAGAAAGAGAAGAAGGATGATGACAATGATGACTTTCCTGGAGGGTCGGGCAGTGGAGGAGGGGTAGGGGGGAGAGGAGTGACAGCACAAGGGAGGGCGAGCAGCAGTGGCTCGAAAGCAGCTTCTCCCTCCTTCGGTTCTCTGGTGGGTCCCTCTCCCTCTTCCTCTTCCTCTTCCTCTTCCTCTTCCTCTTCCTCTCCCTCTCCCTTTCCCTTCTTGCCCATGTCATATCCACTTCTGCCCACCATTCCTTCTCTCTTCCCTTCAAAGTGCACCTCACTTCACCTTGTTTCACCTTGCTTCATTCACCTAACCTCACCTCAACCCAATCTCTTAATCCTCTGTTTCTGTCTGCTTCTTTCTGCCCAAACCCTCCTTCCACCAGAAGGCAACCCAGCACCCCACACAACCCAGCAGCACCGCTTTCTCCTCCTTCCAGCAAGCAGCAGCAGCAGTCACGATAGCAGCAGCAGCCGCAGTCACAGCAGCAGCAGGAGCAACAGCAGGAGGAGAGTACACTTCAGAGCTCTCAGACACAGCAACACTGGTTGCCATGGTTACCACCCTCCAGTCCCAAGCCTCGTCTCTCCGAGCCTCCCGCCAAACCGCCCTCGCCTCCGTGGCAGCCTCCCATTGGCCGTTCCAATCGCTGCCCGTTTACGCTGCCCCGGTCAATGCCCCTTTGAGCCACAAAAAGAGGGGAGGGTCATTGGAAGAGAGGGAGGGAGGAGAGGAAGGAACGTGGTGGTGGTCGGAGGAATCTCAGTCAATGAATGCAGCTAATACCTCCCCTGCCGCCCTCTCTCCCTCTTCCCCTAACTCTCCTCTGGACTCGCTTAAAAGAGCCCTCACCTCTCTTGCTCTCCCCATCCCCTTCCACCAATTGGGTATGAGGAAGAGGGGGTCTGCGGACCCTGTAGCAGGAGAGCCTGCATCAGGAGGACCTTCCCCAGGTAATGCCGAAGGTTCCGGACGGAGGGAAGGGGGTGAGTGGGGATGGGTGGCTGCGGCTGTGCTGGTGCTCCTGCCGCTGCTCCTGGGTCCTAGTGATGCCCTGGGAATGTGAAACAGTTGACTCTGGTTGACTTTTGGGTGGACTCGTGTGCTGCATGTTTTTTTATTACGGTATGCTGGCTGTGGGTTGAGATTATGAGAATGTAGCAAACGTTTTTGTTGCAATGCATTAGCTTGCAACAGGCTTCGGATATGCTTATATTTCTTGGTACCTGGCTTAGATGTGCCTTGGTTTGCTTTACTCTATTATTTGTATACAACAATTGAATGTGAGATCTGATAGGTTGGTTTTAACCATATCACCAGATATGATCCTTTAACTTATTTGATTAATGAAGTACAGCTCTGCTGCTATGAAATGTTGTAGCGACTTGCATCATAGCATGGACTTCTGTGTTATGCACAGTTTTCTGATTTGTTTTCCCCCCTGCCAGTTACAGCACATTGTATCTCGCGTAACTTCGTCCACTCACACATGCACCACACATTTCGCATGTGTTGTTGCTTGCCGGCGTCCACGAAAACGTAACTCTCATCGCCCGCGCTGGGTAGGGCGCCAATCGCATGCTTGCTAGGGCCATCCCTCGCTGTAATTCCCTCCCCCCCCCCTCCCTTCAACTTCCGCCACCCATCCGCCCGGCCTAGGTGTTCGCTTGCTGGTTGGGCTGCTCGATTGCGGATGGAATTTCCCCCCCCGTGTGGCTGGTTGGGTTGGGGGAAGGTTATTTGGGAAATAGGATACGCTAGGGGGGGGAGCTGGGCGTTCACTGGCTGGTGTCGAGTCCACGGCTGTGCCGAATCGAAGAAAGCGGTGCGCTGCGGTGTGGTGGTGTGGGGTGGAGGTGATTCAGGTGACCACACACACGGGCCAATCTCGTGTCGCCATGTTGGGCTAAAATGCGCAGTCGGCGCTACATTTCGATGCAGCGCGGCTCGTTCCGAAATGCCCCCCAACCTAATCTAGCTGCCCATCCTTGACTCCGGTCAGCTCCCCTCTCTGTACTCTCTCATCCAACCGTCGAGTTAGCTATCTCATTTATCCCGTTTTTCACAACCGTAAGATCGCATTAGTTTCAGAGAGCTCAGCAACCCGCTCCCCTGTACAACGAAATTGGTTTTCCGTGGTCAATTGAGTTGAGCTGGGAGTGTGAAGCTGGTCAGAGCACCTCTGTCCGTCCCGCACAGCTTCTCATTCTGTGCCTGGAAAAGAAGGGCTGGGGAGGATACAACACAAAATTCGCGCCTATCAGTTCCTCCCATAACCTGGAACAGCAGTTCACACCCAGCACTCCTCACTCCCATTCCATCCCATCGCATGCCTTCATCATCACATCGCATCCATGCTTCCTGGACCTCTGTTGCTGACCGTGTCTCTCTTTCTTGACAGCCTGGGCGCATCCTCCTCGCTCTTACGACAACATCAATTACTGTTGACACCAGTCGCTCACTTGCTGGAGTTTTCTCTGCATTCTGTGCTCGCACCGTTTTCTTATTGTAGACATCAGCGAAACTATTTAACATTTTTTCGCCAACAATTACCACATCCCTTGGCGTAGCATTAGTTCGGTAGTGCGAGCTGCTTCAGCACGCGTCACCACGTTCAGCTAATTAGTTCCTGGCCATGACCTTCAAGTCTAGAACTGACTTTTGAGGCGCCTAAAAAGCTAGTTAGTTCCTGGCCATGTGCTTCAATTCTAGAACTGTCTAGAGCCTTATCGAACCGGGTATGGTGACATGATGTGTAGACTAGTGCAGTTTTTATGAGCTGTCAGATCGGTATAGAACGAGACAGTATCGGATCGACGTCGCGATCACGACGCGCCAACACGCGCTTAGTCACTCAGGAGTCTTGAGTTCTGTAGAGCAGCCACGTCAGCAGCCACCTCGGCTGGGTGAAGCAGCCGCCTCGGCTGGGTAAAGCAGCCACCACAGCTGCCCCTCACCATGGCGCGAACCGCCTCGCCGCCACACGGTCTAGTCCGCTCCTTCCGCCGCACGCGGCCTTATGATCCGCTACAGTATCCACATGCGGCTCGGCTCTCACGGACTATTAAGGCGCCCCTAGACGCGGTTCGGCTCGCGGTTCTGCTCTTCGTGACGGCCAGTGCCTTCTGTCCGGTACTTTTGCCGGCCGCGTCAGCCCCGGTTTGCAATCTTTTCGAAGGCCGGTGGGTAGTTGATGGCAACCGTCCGCCGTATCAAGACTCGTGCCCCTTTCTGGTAAGGCTTCCTTTTTTTACAGCCTCTTTTTTTCCTGTAAGTTTTCCGTTTTATGAGCCTTGCTCTTATGATTTATGAATTCCACGGCTGTGTATGCTGGTATTCTCGGTTTCATTCTGTTTCAAAGGAAAATCAAAGAGGGCACTGGTTGTTCCGTTTCCGTTGGCAGTTCAACTTGACCCGTTGCACTACGAACGGCCGGCCGGACAACGCGTACGTACGCTACTCGTGGTATTCAACAAGCTGCAAAAGAATAGTGCGATTCAACCGAACGTACGTACGAACGACCAGGGGCTACGATTTTCAATGAAAGTGGTCACGTCGCATCCCCTCCTCATCCCTTCCCAACCCATCCCATTCCCTCGAGAAGCCCATGGTCTCTTCTCTCTTTCCTTCCTTTGTTTATATCACACGTGTACACGTTGTCTTCAAAGCTGAGGACATATCTCTCTTCTCCTCTCTTCCCAATGCTCCTGCCATCCCCCAACCCCCGGGTCCCCCCCCCGCCCATCCCCTCCCCTCACCACTCCCGCTCCCCCTTCCGCATGCCCCACTCTCCCCCTTCTCCCGCTACAGTCACTTCGGACAATTGATAAAGAACAAGCAGATCGCGATCATCGGCGACTCGCTCACGAGTGCAAACTTCGTGCCGTCGCTGCTCTGCCAGGTGTGTGGGGGCGGGGGGGCCGAGGGGTGGGGGGTGTGAGTGTTTGTGCGTGTATGTGGGAGGGGATGGGTGTGACCATCGGCGACTCGCTCACGAGCTTCAACGTCGTGCCGTCGCTGCTCTGCCAGGTGTGTGTTGGTGACGAAGTGAGTGTTTGCGTGTGTATGTGGGAGGGGAGGTGGCGGAAGGGGGAGGGTGAGGGGGTTGTGTGTGTGTGCGTATGATCAGCTAATAATGAACAAGCAGATCGCGACCATCGGCGAGTCGCTCAGGAGCTTTTGAGAATTCTCAAAAGCGATTTCGAGTCGCTTAAGAGCACGACCATCAGCGCCAACTTCGTGCCATCTCTGCTCTGCCAGGTGTGTGTGGGGGTTGTGGTGGAGGGGTGGAGTGGGGCGAGGAGTGTGTGTGACAACGTGTGCTGTTTTTATCTGCTGACAATATTAACCTGAAATAACAATATTGTCCGAAGCCCGAGCTGCGCACGTTGGATGGGTCGTGATGATGCTAAGAGACGAGCTGGTATTCCCAAGGCTGATTCATGTCTTGAGTGGGCGGGTGGGTCGGCGGATGAAGAGACCAGCTTCGAGAATGCCGCATCAGTTTGCATGTATAAAACCGAAATAACTACACTTCTTTACCCCCAATGTCTCTACAGATAAACCAGCTGTACTGGGTGAGTCCGAAGCCGGAGTTGCGCACGTTGGATGGCGGCGCGTGGTCCAAGGATTCGCCCGAGGCGGTGGCGTACGTGTATTCTATTCCCCAGCTCAACGCCACGATCGTCATGCTCTGGGACGACTACCTCGTCAGGATCAACCAGAGTACGTCCCTCTCGCTACACCCCCCTCTGATTACAAATATATCATATTACGTGTAGATGCACGTATATGTATACGTATAGATTATGAATTTGTGGGCTTTTGGGTGTCGTAATAATCGAGGTTGTAACTTACGTGTATTCCATCCCGGAGCTCATCGCCAAGATCGTCATGCTCTGGGACGACTATCTCGTGCAGATCAACCAGAGTACGTTCTCTCGCTACACCCTAGATACAGCATATAAGGGTACACGTATGTACATGAATCTATTTACGTTGTGGTGTAGAAATTTGGGCTTCTGGGAATCGTACATCCCGAGGTAGTCGCTTACGTGTACTCCATCCCCGAGCTCAACGCCAAGATCATCATGCTTTGGGACGACTACCTCGTGCGGATCAACCAGAGTACGTCATCCGTTCCACCTCGCTCTCGCTATATGATATGACAGATATGTGAATGTACACGTATATAAAATTCTGAAAGACCTATAATTATATAAAGTTCTGGGCATCCGGGTGCCCCACCACCTCTGGGAGGGACGACTACCCTCGTCAGGATTAACCAGAGTACGTCATCCGTTCCTCCTCTTTCATGCCCCTTGCCTCTCCCCATTGCCTACCCACATTGCCATGGTCTCCCAAACCACCGGCTCTTCCTCTCTTCCCTCTTCCTCAGCCGTTCATTTTCCCCTCTTAGTGGCACCTCCCCTCCTTCCTCCCGCTCCCGCTCCCCATCCCCCTCCCCATCCCTCCCCCCCCTCTCCAGAGGCCACCATCCATTGCTTTCCCGTTTCCCGTGTTTCCCCCTCTCCATCTCTCAAACTGTCCTCTTCCCTCCCCCTCCCGCTCTAACCTCTACAGACGCCGCAATGCTAGCAAAGGTGGGGGGCATCACTGATCCAAAACCAGCCGACTGTCTGATAGACGTGGCCACGCCCAACCCGCAGTGGGCGCGCTACCTGGACGAGTGGGATGCGGTTTTGCTCGAGACCACCACGCACTGGCGATCCTTATCCAAGGGCCCGAGAATGGTCTACACGAACGAGAACTGGAGCAAGCTGAGCCTCGACCAGTACCAGGCGCACAGGTGGGTGATAGCTGGTGACATCTGCCTCTGCCTGTGCCTCTACCTCTGCCTCTACCTCTGCCTCCGCCTCTGCCTCTGGTGACATTCTCCCCCTCTCCGTTTCCCCGCATCCCTCCCCCCATTCACCTCTCAGCCAATCCCTCACGAGCATCTGCTGACACTTCAACGATTGCACAAACATGGGAAGGTGCTTCCAAAACCGAGGTGACTTTTGAGTCGACTCCAAAGTCACCCCAATCCCTCACGAGCATCTGCTCACACTTCAACGATTGCAGAACCCATTCACACCTTGAAGGTGCTTCCAGAACCGAGGTGACTTTTGAGTCGACTCAAAAGTCACCCCAATACCTCACGAGCATCTGCTCACACTTCAACGATTGCAGAACCCATTCACACCTTGAAGATGCTTCCAGAACCGAGGTGACTTTTGAGTCGACTCAAAAGTCACCCCAATCCCTCACGAGCATCTGCTCACACTTCAACGATTGCAGAACCCATTCACACCTTGAAGATGCTTCCAGAACCGAGGTGACTTTTGAGTCGACTCAAAAGTCACCCCAATCCCTCACGAGCATCTGCTCACACTTCAACGATTGCAGAACCCATTCACACCTTGAAGGAGCTTTCAGAACCGCTCTTCACTCACGCGCTTCTGACCTCCCATCTCCCACACCTACAACATCCACTCCTCCCCTTCCTCCATCCAAGCCCTGACAAGCATACGCACGCAGTCAGCAATAGCTGGAAGCTGGGAAAGGAGCTCCCGGTGCTGCTCTGTACTAACGCCCTTCCCACCTTTGAGACGTCCCAAAAGTTTCCATTAACGCCCTTCCCTCCTCCCACCTCCCACCTCCCACCTCCCACCTCCCTTCCATCCACCCCCTTCCTCCAGCCAAGCCCTGACGAGCGTTCGCACGCACTTTAGCAATCGCAAGAAGATGGGGAAGGATCTTCCAGTGCCGTTCTTCATGACGGCTCCCCCCCAGCACAACGCCAAGAAGGTTGGCGGCAAGGGCGTGTGTGGGTCACCTGGTCGGATGCTGAACGCGAAAGAGGTGAGAGCGAGAGGGTAGAAGGTTCCGTACCAACACCATGCATGTACACTGCCGCCTATATCAATGAAAGGACTTTTAAGGGTAGGAGTTCCTGTACAGAACATACTCGAGGTATCATTCTCGGGGAGGGTGAGCGGAGGTTGGGGAAAGTGCTGCCTGTGCCGTTCTTCAAGAGTGCCTCCTCGCAGCACAACGCCAAGAAGGTTGACGGCAACGGCGTGTGTGGGTCGCCTGCAAGGCTGCTGAATGTGAACGAGGTGAGGCTGAAACGCGAGCGCAGGAGGTGAGGCAGAATAGGTAGCTTCGGTTTGGGGGTCAGCAGTGTGCCAGTGGCCAGACAACGAGGAAACCGGGGTGAGGGGAGGCTTTTTTTTTCTTTTTTTTTTAGTCGACTCAAAGAGGTGACTTTTGAGTCGACTCAAAAGTAGCTTCGGTTCGGGGGTCGGCAGTGTGCCAGTGGCTGGACAACGAGGGAACCGGGGAGAGGGGAGGCAAGGCAATAAAAAGACGACTTCTGAGACGTCTCAAGAGGCAGAATAGGTAGCTTCGGTTCGGGGGTCAGCAGTGTGCCAGTGGCTGGACAACGAGGAAACCGGGGAGAGGTGAGGCTGGTCAGTCTTCCCTGAAAATGTTTTGGTTATTACTATATTATTATTATATGGTTATTATTATTATTACTATTATAATTATTACTATTATAATTATTACTACCATTACTATTACTGTGATTATTATTACCGTTACTATTATTATTACTATTCATATTATCAACGTACAGATGACCAGGAAGCTGCCATGAATGAAGCTAATCCTGCCCATCCAAAGCAAGCCTACATTTGTCTTTTCCATCCCCTCTCCCTTTCCCATTCCGTCCACTCCACTACCCGCCCATCCCTAACAGATGGGCAAGCTACAGCGCACCAACGTACAGATGAAGCTGTTTCTGCCCATCCAGCAACGGGTCTTCCCTGTCTTTTTCCCATCACTCACTTTTCCATTCCCCTCTCTCTCCCCTCCCCATCCCCCGCCCACCCTTCCCCCTCAGATGGGCAAGCTACAGCGCACCAACATACAGATGAAGCTCTTTCTGCCCATCCAGCAGAAGGTCTTCACTTCCAAAGTCCTCCCATCAACTTTATCCTTCCCATTCACCCTTCCCTCTCTCCCAATCAACAGATGGGCAAGCTACAGCGCACCAACGTGCAAATGAAGCTCTTTCTGCCAATCCAGCAACGGGTCTTCACGCCAACCTCGGGCGTGCGTCGCATGGACATCACCACTATGAGCGCCTTCCGACCTGAGGCACACATCGGAGGATTCATGGGCGGGGTGAGTGCCACGTGTGACATGATGGGGAGGGAGTTAGTGCTAGGATAGCACATGTTGGGGTTTCTCTTATGTGTGCCTAGTGTGCGTTCGCCGCATGGACATCACCACTATGAGCGCCTTCCGACTCGAGGCACACATTGGCGGTTTTATGGGTGGGGTGAGTGCTAGGATGGACGGGGTAATGAGTGCCACATGAGCTTCTATACATGCGTTCTAGGAACGTATGGCATTCACATGCTTGCTGTCTTCACTCCAGTCTCGGGCATTCGTCGCATGGACATCACAACAATGAGCGCATTCAGACCCGAGGCACACATCCCCGGATCCAAGGGCGGGGTGAGTGCCACGTGGCTACATGGGAAGGGAGGAGGTTACCTGTCATGTGTGGTGATGTAGCCTAGTGTGGTTTGGGAGAGAATGCAGCCAAGTACAAGCCGAGTCAGGTCAGCCAAGTCTTCACTCCAAGCTCCCCAAGTTGACTGTTTGACGTAGTGTTTTGAGACGTCTCAAAACACTACTTCAAACACGTCAGCCAAGTCTTCACTCCAAGCTCCCCAAGTTGACTGCATGGACATCACCACAATGAGCGCCTTCCATCCCTTCCCCATTGCGCACGCTTCTCTCATTCTCCCCCTCCCCTCGTATCTATCCCTTTTTTAACTGCAAACCCCAAACCTACCAGAAGAAGGGGTCGCACTGGTACCACTTTTGAGGCGCCTCAAAAGTCATTAGTGCCAGACGTGTGGGACGACCTCTTCTACGAGATGCTCTGCCAGGAAACCCTCATCAACCCCACTCCTAACTCCCACTATCCCTTCCTTTCCTCCCTCACCCTACTAGAAGAAGAAAGGGTCGGACTGTCTGCACTGGTGCCAGCCAGGAGTGCCAGACGTGTGGGTCGACCTCTTCTACGAGATGCTTCGGCGGGAACCTCTCATCAACCCCACTCCTGACGGCCTCTACGCTCCTGCGCCTCCGCCCTCTCCTCCCAAGCCTAGCCCCAAACCGATTCCCAAACCAAGCCCCGAACCAAGCCCCGAGCCGAGTACCAAGCCTAGTCCCAAGCCTGCTCCCAAGCCCAGTCCCAAGCCTGTTCCCAAGCCTGCTCCCAAGCCTGCTCCCAAGCCTGTTCCCAAGCCCAGTCCCAAGCCTGCTCCCAAGCCTAGCCCAAAGCCCAGCCCCAAGCCTGCTCCGAAGCCTGTCCCCGTACCTACACCCAAACCCACCACCTCGCCCACCCCATCCCCCCCAGCTTCCAGCTTCAAGCCCCGCGAGCCAGGCAGCCCTGGGGGCTTTAAGTGGCGCTCTGTGCTCTCTGACCCTCCTGTTGAATCTGATAAAATGGCGGCTCTGGCACAAGAAGATGAGCTGTCTACTGGAGCTTGTTGTAACAATGTTACCAGCAGAGCAGCCAGGTTCGGCAGCGAGCTGGCAGCTCTCCCTGCGAGCCAGGAGAGACCGAGGCCTGAACCTGTGGGGTCGAGAGGTTCAGTAGAAGCTTCTGTGGAGGGTCATGTGTTTCCAGGGGTTCGGCACCGGGCTTGGGCTGGGAAACGGAGAGGAGGGTTTCTGCAGTTGAGGCACTGGCGGCATCAGGGCTGAGGCTTCTTTGGGTGGTTGTGCTGCTGTGCACCTGCACTGTACTGTAGTGAGGAAGGGCAGCAGCCGCCGCAACAGCGGCAGCAGCAGCAGCAGCAGCAGCAGCAGCAGCAGCAGCGGCAGCAGCAGCGGCAGCGGCAGCGGCAGCGGCAGCGGCAGCGGCAGCGGCAGCGGCAGCGGCAGCGGCAGCGGCAGCGGCAGCGGCAGCGGCAGCGGCAGCGGCAGCGGCAGCGGCAGCGGCAGCGGCAGCGGCAGCGGCAGCGGCAGCGGCAGCGGCAGCGGCAGCGGCAGCGGCAGCGGCAGCGGCAGCGGCAGCGGCAGCGGCAGCGGCAGCGGCAGCGGCAGCGGCAGCGGCAGCGGCAGCGGCAGCGGCAGCGGCAGCGGCAGCGGCAGCGGCAGCGGCAGCGGCAGCGGCAGCGGCAGCGGCAGCGGCAGCGGCAGCGGCAGCGGCAGCGGCAGCGGCAGCGGCAGCGGCAGCGGCAGCGGCAGCGGCAGCGGCAGCGGCAGCGGCAGCGGCAGCGGCAGCGGCAGCGGCAGCGGCAGCGGCAGCGGCAGCGGCAGCGGCAGCGGCAGCGGCAGCGGCAGCGGCAGCGGCAGCGGCAGCGGCAGCGGCAGCGGCAGCGGCAGCGGCAGCGGCAGCGGCAGCGGCAGCGGCAGCGGCAGCGGCAGCGGCAGCGGCAGCGGCAGCGGCAGCGGCAGCGGCAGCGGCAGCGGCAGCGGCAGCGGCAGCGGCAGCGGCAGCGGCAGCGGCAGCGGCAGCGGCAGCGGCAGCGGCAGCGGCAGCGGCAGCGGCAGCGGCAGCGGCAGCGGCAGCGGCAGCGGCAGCGGCAGCGGCAGCGGCAGCGGCAGCGGCAGCGGCAGCGGCAGCGGCAGCGGCAGCGGCAGCGGCAGCGGCAGCGGCAGCGGCAGCGGCAGCGGCAGCGGCAGCGGCAGCGGCAGCGGCAGCGGCAGCGGCAGCGGCAGCGGCAGCGGCAGCGGCAGCGGCAGCGGCAGCGGCAGCGGCAGCGGCAGCGGCAGCGGCAGCGGCAGCGGCAGCGGCAGCGGCAGCGGCAGCGGCAGCGGCAGCGGCAGCGGCAGCGGCAGCGGCAGCGGCAGCGGCAGCGGCAGCGGCAGCGGCAGCGGCAGCGGCAGCGGCAGCGGCAGCGGCAGCGGCAGCGGCAGCGGCAGCGGCAGCGGCGGCAGCGGCAGCGGCAGCGGCAGCGGCAGCGGCAGCGGCAGCGGCAGCGGCAGCGGCAGCGGCAGCGGCAGCGGCAGCGGCAGCGGCAGCGGCAGCGGCAGCGGCAGCGGCAGCGGCAGCGGCAGCGGCAGCGGCAGCGGCAGCGGCAGCGGCAGCGGCAGCGGCAGCGGCAGCGGCAGCGGCAGCGCAGCGGGGCAGCGGCAGCGGCAGCGGCAGCGGCATCGGCAGCGGCAGCGGCAGCGGCAGCGGCAGCGGCAGCGGCAGCGGCAGCGGCAGCGGCAGCGGCAGCGGCAGCGGCAGCGGCAGCGGCAGCGGCAGCGGCAGCGGCAGCGGCAGCGGCAGCGGCAGCGGCAGCGGCAGCGGCAGCAGCAGCAACAGCGGCAGCGGCAGCAGCAGCAGCAGCAGCAGCAGCAGCAGCAGCAGCAGCAGCAGCAGCAGCAGCAGCAGCAGCGCCATGCAAGGGCATAATGTCCACGTTATCAGCTTCTCTGCACCTAATATTGCATGTAACCATATATGAACAAATATCCTCTCATTAATGCTGTACTGAAACAAACTGTCTCACATCTATTTTGAAAGAAGCTTCAGTGACTGCATAAAAAGGGCAAGTAAACCAGCAGAAGTGATACCGGTACCTTAAAAACATTGGTTAGTGCAAAACAACGGTGAAGTCAAACTAAGTCCCTGTCTCTCCCCTTCTTCTTCCCCTCCTTATCCTTCCGCTTCCTCTTGCTCCTCGACCCACCGCTGCTGAATCAGACACCTCCTCACTCTCACTCCCACTACTCTCCTCACTCTCACTCCCACCACTCTCCTCACTCTCACTCCCACTACTTCCGAGTTTTTAGCATGTCTCAAAACTCAGTCCCTGTCTCTCCGCTTCTTCTTCTTCCCCTCCTTATCCTTCCGTTTCCTCTTCCTCCTCGCCCCACCGCTGCTATCACTGTCATCAGACACCTCCTCGCTCTCACTTCCACTACTCTCCTCACTCTCACTCTCACTCTCGTCTCTCCGCCTCCTGTGCTTGCGTGAAGACGAAGACTTCTTGCCCTTGCTGCTCCGCTTCCGCTCCTTCTTGCCTTTCCGCCGCCTCCTCCGCCTATCCTCGTCAGAAGACGAGGAATCATCTTCATCGTCACTATCTGATAACGAATCGTCGTCGTCTGAACTGTCAGACTTTCTTCTCTTCCTCTTACTGCTGCTCTTTTTCTTTGACTTCTTTTTCTTCTTGTCTTTCTTCTTCAAATCGCTCCCTTTCTTCTCCTTCTCCGAAGCGCCATCCCCAGCTTTCGAGGGTATCAAACCACGAGAACGCGCCGCTTCAGCCAAATCCCCGTCACCGTCATCATCGCTAAGCGACACGTCACTCTCCTCTTCCGCGAATTCCATCCCCGGCCGTTTCTGGCCGGCCAGCCCGCCGGCAAGCTCTGCCGGAACGTTAACGTCCTCCTTGGCCGTCAGAAAATTCCGGCACTGGAACGTCAAATGGCCGACGCGATGGCATTTTTTGCAGGAACCGCGAGACGTGTCAGCTCCAGATCCCGTCAATTTCGCGAGCTGCAGCAGTCCTTGGAAGCTGTCGTACGCGTTATCCTCGCCGTCGGCTGCTTTCTTTTCGTCCGGAGCGTACGGATCGTACCCGATGGCGCTCTGCCAGATGCCGTGCGTTTGCAGGGCTGCGCTACTGTGCACCCTGTTGTTCGCTGGCATGCGAACGCGGCCCGCCGTGGCCGGCATGGTGTCGGATTTTTATTATACAAGCTCGACGTGGAAAGGAAGCGACAACAAAGCGTATCAACTAGTAAGGAGGAAGAAAGGGAGAAGTGGGACAAGAGAGGCCGACGATGGAAGACAGCGCGCGAGAGTAGGAAGTACGAGGTAAGTAGAAAGGTCAGGAAGACACTGGAAACCCTAGGAGTGGGAAGACTGACAGGGCGTTTGTGTTTTGCTCCACGCACCTTACTAAACCGCTCTAAGTTCTCAACATCCCTACTCAGAACGCCTAAAAACCTTTATGAGCCGTACAGAGCTGAACTTGTTATGACACGGCATGAGAAAGCATGTCATGCGAGGACGATGAATGCAGCCTGCCACGAAAAGGAACGCGACAGTAACATTTTCGCTAAAATTTACTACGGGTTCAGATTCATCAACTGCTTATCATTTACAGAATGTACCACAGAATGTATCACCTTTTTGTTTTCCGCACCTTCCTAAGCTCCCTATTACGGTCACGTTTCTTCCTGGCCTTGGCAGCCCGTTGCGCCCTAGTCTCTGTAAGCACCGCCTGCATCTTTATCCACTGGTCCTTCTTCTCCTCTTTAATCCGTAACAGCCGCGACATCACCCTTGGAGGTCCCCTTTTCCCATCCAACAACCCATGCTCGTCTAGCTCTTGTAACAGTGCCGCAACATCAGTGCGCATAAGAGCATTTTCATATGTGCACATGGTGTTGGTTGGTGTAGGATGTGGTGAGTCTTCCAAGGATAGATCTTGACAGCTCGGAGAATCCTGCATGGAGAGAGGAGGGAAACCACAAGGACTGTTGTGAGAATGCAGCTACTGTCCCATACGCATTCTCTCACATAATGGTCGGGCCAAACTACATGAAACGTGTTGACCCCTGTTGACTCACCTTGACCCATCGCTCCACAGAGTACCCTCTTGCTGTCAGCACGCCCTCCCTCAACTCGTCAGCTCGGAACGGAGCCCCCATGGCCCACAGCCAGCTGCATGCGACTCTTGAGGTGCCTCAAAGTCCGTTCCATGGCCAGATGCCCCCAACTCTTCCACCCACAACCAGATGCCCCCATGGAACACAGCCAGCTGCACTGGCCCACACACCAACCACAACAGACCGCCGTTGACCTGTGTTGACTCCCGGTTGACCTGTGTTGACTCACCTTGACCCATCTCTCAATGGCGTACCCTCTAGCTGTCAGCACGCCCTCCCTGTCCTCGTCAGCTCGGAACGAAGCCCCCATGGCCCACAGCCAGCTGCAACGATTCCGAGGCGGCTCAAAGTTTGTCACCAGAAGAGACCCCATTGACCTGCGTTGACTTACCTTGACCCATCTGTCCACGGAGTAGCCTCTAGCTGTCAGCATGCCCTCTCTCTCCTCGTCAGCTCGGAGCGTAGCCCCCATGGTCCACAGCCAGCAGCGCTGGCCCATACAATCCCCAGTACAGACACCCGTTGACCTGCGTTGACTCACCGTGACCCATCTCTCCACGGAGTAGCCTCTAGCTGTCAGCACGCCCTCCCTATCCTCGTCACCTCGGAACGAAGCCCGAATGGCTCACAGCCAGCTGCGCACAGTGCGCTTCAGGTGCCTCAGATTTCATCACCAGAACAGACCCCCCTTGACCCATGTTGACTCACCTTGACCCATCTCTCCACAGGATAGCCTCTTGCTGTCAGCACGCCCTCCCTGTCCACGTCAGCTTTGAACGGTGCCCCCATGGCCCACAGCCAGCTGCGCAAGGTGCGCTTCAATGACACGCTGCCACCTGGCACGCTGCTGCTGCTGCTGGTGACGCGCTGCAGCATGCCACCTGTCACGATGATGACGTGGCGGGGCCCTGGAACACCCTGGAGAGCAGCGTCCTGTTGGAGTGGATGGTGGGATGCGAGGGGATGGTGGGATGCGAGGGGATGGTGGGAATGGAAGGGCATGGATGGGGATGGAAGGGATGGTGGGAATGGAAGGACAGGGATGGGGGTGGTGGAGATGGGACTGCATGGTCGAGATGAGAAGGGGGATAAACGGGATGGAAGGGCATGGCCGGCGGAGCGGAGTATGCATGGCAGGGCAGGGCAGGGCAGGGCAGGGCAGGGCAGGGCAATGAGGCAAGAAGCAAGGGTGACAAGAGAGTGAGGAGAGGGAGGAGAAGGGTTAATCATTGGAGTAGAGGGAAGCGGAGCGGACCTGCACCAGGTCAAGCCAATGGTGCAGAGGAATGAGGGCAGCAGCGGTGAGAAAGAGAGAAAGAGGAGGGAAAGTGAGCGCAGGGGAGAGGCGTTGACTGACCTGCAGCAGGTCAAGCCAGTGGTGCAGAGATATGAGGGCAACAGCGGGGAGAAACAGTGGCGGGGGGGGAGAGATAAAAAACAAGAGGCAGAGAGAGTGAAAGGCGACAAAGAGGGAGAGGAGGGTGACTGACCTGCACCATATCGAGCCAGTGGTGCAGAGCAACGAGGGCAGCCCCAGGGGAGAGAGACAGGTGTGGAGAAAGAAAGTAGAGGAGGGAGCGGCAGATGGCAGTGGTGAGACAGGGCAGAGGAGGGTGCCTGACCTGCACCATGTCAAGCCAGTGGTGCAGAGCAACGAGGGCAGCCCCAGGGGAGAGAGTGCGCACGTCCAGCTTCCAGTCCTCAGGAGCAGCCCTGGTGGGAGGCAGGACGGGCAGAGGAACGACATAGGACAGGAGGATAGGGAACAAGACTTTGAGTCGACTCAAAAGTCACCTCGTTACACCGGGGGAGAGAGAGTGCGCACATCCAGCTTCCAGTCCTCAGGCGCAGCCCTGGTGGGAGGCAGGAGAAGGAATATATAGTGAGGGGCGAGGCAGGGGGGGGGGGGGGAAGGGGAGGATGGGAGAGAGTGCGCACATCCAGCTTCCAGTCCTCAGGCGCAGCCCTGGTGGGAGGCGGGATGGACAGAAGGTGGGAAGAGAGAGAGCACAGTGGGGGATGAGCGGCGGGGGGAGGGGAGAGTGTGCGCACATCCAGCTTCCAGTCCTCAGGCGCAGCCCCCTGGTGAGGGGCAGGAGAAGGAATATATAGTGAGGGGCGAGGCGGGGGGGGGGGGGGGGGGAGGGGAGGATGGGAGAGAGTGCGCACATCCAGCTTCCAGTCCTCAGGCGCAGCCCTGGTGGGAGGCGGGATGGACAGAAGGTGGGAAGAGAGAGAGCACAGTGGGGGATGAGCGGCGGGGGGAGGGGAGAGTGTGCGCACATCCAGCTTCCAGTCCTCAGGCGCAGCCCCCTGGTGAGGGGCAGGAGAAGGAATATATAGTGAGGGGCGAGGCGGGGGGGGGGGGGGGGGAGGGGAGGATGGGAGAGAGTGCGCACATCCAGCTTCCAGTCCTCAGGCGCAGCCCTGGTGGGAGGCGGGATGGACAGAGGAAGGAAAGACACAATGCAGAGGCAGGACGGAGGGCAGCAGGAACGCTTGTTGAGGTGCAAGGGGGGGGATGGGGAATGGGGGGAAGAGCGTGCGCACATCCAGCTTCCAGTCGTCGGGTGCAGCCCTGGTGAGGGGCAGGAGGGTTGCGGAAAGGAACTGGTTTGAGGGATGGAGCACCAACCGTGCCAGCTATACGGCTGAGAAGCACGGTCCAGATACACCACTTAAGGGTTGACTCCAAAGCGAAAAAAGAGCGCACACAACCAGACACCACAGAACCACACACACCACCACCGAATTACATGCCTCCCAACCGCACAGCACCCACCGAGCAGTGAATCGCGGATAAACGCCGCGGTGGGTTGAGAGGAGGAAGAGGCGGTGGGCCCTGGCTCGCTGGCCGAAGCACCACAGCAGATCCACCAGCACGTTGATCATACACACCTCAATGATAGACCACCCTACCCCACACCACCGCACAGCACCTACCGGGCAGTGAATCGCGGATAGACGCCGCGGTGGGTCGAGAGGAGGAAGAGGCGGTGGGCCCTGGCTCGCTGGCCGAAGCACCACAGCAGATCTATTAGCACGTTGATCATGCTCCTCGCTGCACTGCCCTCGTTGACTAGGCTGCTGCTCTTTGCACCCCCGTCTGCCACACTTCCCTCTTGAGTTCATCCCTACACTCCCCTCGTTCACCCTGCTGCTCACTACAACCCCCCCTGCCACACTCCTTGCTTCATTCCCATTCGCCCTGCTTTCCTCTGTGGTCCAGCTGGCATCCCTTGCCAGCAGCCACGTCAGCAGACTGTCGATGTCCGTCCAGGTGTCGTCGTCACATTGGAGGAGTAGTCTGCGGAGAGAGGCAAGGGAGGAGAGGAGAGGAGGGGAGAGAAGAGGAGAGGAGATTTAAGTGAGGAAAGGGAATCCAATTACACGAAGGAGAGATGCTTGCCCAGCACTCTGATAAATGAGGTGACTTTTGAGTCGACTCAAAAGTCACCTTGGAGAGATGCTTGCCCAGCACTCTGATCAATCCGACTCCTTGCAGCACCTCACACGACAGTGGCCCATGACTTGTCTCTTGAGACGTCTCAAAACTTGCCCAGCACTCTGATAAGTCCGACTCCTGGCAGCACCTCACCCCACCTCACACCACAGTGGCCCACGACTTGTCGGCAGGGACCAGTCCCAGCTTATCCCGTCTTTCAATCACTCACCTCTCTCCACCATTCCTCACCCCTCACCCCCAGTCGCTCACCTCTCAGGAACGTCGAACCCCACGTAAGAGAGTGCTTGTAGCAGAAAACAGAGATTTACAGCCGCCCCTCCTACCACCGTGGCCCACGTATTGTGAGTAGCGATCAGCCCCAGCGTACCTCTCAGGAACGTCAAACCCCACAAAGGAGAGCGCTTGTAGCAACGAGAAGCAGTCTGATAAATCCTTGCACCGCGCTGCACCGCCCACCACTGTGGCCCACGTCTTGTATGTGGGCACCAGCCCAAGCTCCCGCATCTGCCGCACACGCACTGCTGCTTCCCGGAAGTTTCCCTCCCGCAGGTACGCGTGCACGAGGGAGGTGAGCTGGACGATGTCCGGCCTGGGCGGTGCAAACGGTGGGGTGGCTGTTGATGATGCTGACGTGGCACTGGATGACGTGGCACTGGGTGACGTGGTGCTTGTGGCTGACATAACATCGTCATCAAATCTGGAGCTTATTGCTGCTGGGTCTGATGCTGAGAAGGAAGGTTCAGCGGAGGATTCGGTGGATGGCACGGCAGATGGTTCGGCAGATGGTTTGGCAGATGGTTCGGCAGATGGTTCGGCAAGTGGTTCGGCAAGTGGTTCGGCAGACAGTTGCCTGGAGTGGTTGAGCTGTCTCTCCAAAATGGCCTCTGCAGCCGCTGTGTTGCCCGCCCTGCCATGTGCATCCATGACCATGTGGTAGAGGTCCGCTGTGAGGGGTATGGCTGGAGTGAAGGGGGCGAGAAAGGGGGAAGGAGGAGAGAGAGTAAAGAGAAAGGGAAGGTTGGCCCTTCACGCCTGCCCGGCCATGTGCATCCTGTTAGAAATGTATGTATAGCATGCTAAGTATAAAAGGGGTTGGGGCTACACCCAACTTTGGGTGTAGCTTGCTTTGTAGGCCTACACCCAAGTTTGGGGTGTAGACTTGCAAGTTGGGGTTCCAATCCAGCCCACAAGTGTTGGAGCCCCCAAGTGCAAGTTGGGTACCTCCTCTTTGCAACCCACAAGTTGGGTACCTCCTCTTTGCAACCCACAAGTTGGGTACCTCCTCTTTGCAACCCACAAGTTGGGTACCTCCTCTTTGCAACCCACAAGTTGGGTACCTCCTCTTTGCAACCCACAAGTTGGGTACCTCCTCTTTGCAACCCACAAGTTGGGTACCTCCTCTTTGCAACCCACAAGTTGGGTACCTCCTCTTTGCAACCCACAAGTTGGGTACCTCCTCTTTGCAACCCACAAGTTGGGTACCTCCTCTTTGCAACCCACAAGTTGGGTACCTCCTCTTTGCAACCCACAAGTTGGGTACCTCCTCTTTGCAACCCACAAGTTGGGTACCTCCTCTTTGCAACCCACAAGTTGGGTACCTCCTCTTTGCAACCCACAAGTTGGGTACCTCCTCTTTGCAACCCACAAGTTGGGTACCTCCTCTTTGCAACCCACAAGTTGGGTACCTCCTCTTTGCAACCCACAAGTTGGGTACCTCCTCTTTGCAACCCACAAGTTGGGTACCTCCTCTTTGCAACCCACAAGTTGGGTACCTCCTCTTTGCAACCCACAAGTTGGGTACCTCCTCTTTGCAACCCACAAGTTGGGTACCTCCTCTTTGCAACCCACAAGTTGGGTACCTCCTCTTTGCAACCCACAAGTTGGGTACCTCCTCTTTGCAACCCACAAGTTGGGTACCTCCTCTTTGCAACCCACAAGTTGGGTACCTCCTCTTTGCAACCCACAAGTTGGGTACCTCCTCTTTGCAACCCACAAGTTGGGTACCTCCTCTTTGCAACCCACAAGTTGGGTACCTCCTCTTTGCAACCCACAAGTTGGGTACCTCCTCTTTGCAACCCACAAGTTGGGTACCTCCTCTTTGCAACCCACAAGTTGGGTACCTCCTCTTTGCAACCCACAAGTTGGGTACCTCCTCTTTGCAACCCACAAGTTGGGTACCTCCTCTTTGCAACCCACAAGTTGGGTACCTCCTCTTTGCAACCCACAAGTTGGGTACCTCCTCTTTGCAACCCACAAGTTGGGTACCTCCTCTTTGCAACCCACAAGTTGGGTACCTCCTCTTTGCAACCCACAAGTTGGGTACCTCCTCTTTGCAACCCACAAGTTGGGTACCTCCTCTTTGCAACCCACAAGTTGGGTACCTCCTCTTTGCAACCCACAAGTTGGGTACCTCCTCTTTGCAACCCACAAGTTGGGTACCTCCTCTTTGCAACCCACAAGTTGGGTACCTCCTCTTTGCAACCCACAAGTTGGGTACCTCCTCTTTGCAACCCACAAGTTGGGTACCTCCTCTTTGCAACCCACAAGTTGGGTACCTCCTCTTTGCAACCCACAAGTTGGGTACCTCCTCTTTGCAACCCACAAGTTGGGTACCTCCTCTTTGCAACCCACAAGTTGGGTACCTCCTCTTTGCAACCCACAAGTTGGGTACCTCCTCTTTGCAACCTTAGTTGCGGAAGACGCGTCTAGCGTCTTAGACGCGTCCGTCTAGACGCAGCGTCTAAGACGCTAGATGCTAGACAGTGTACATTAGACGCAGTATTAGACGAAAACCCGGGCAGGCCTAAAAAAAATGTTCGGGCAGACCAACAAAAGTTCTATGGGGCATGGGGAGGGTCGGGGACATGCACCTATGTCACAATGGATACTAGAAGACATGGTTGTGCGGTGGAAGTAGCTAAACCCTAAAGGTTTTTGAAAGAGATTTGGAAGAAATGGAGGTAGGGGAGCACAAATGAGGGATTTGTGCTCCCCAACCTCTTGGTGGTTAGCCATAGAGGTTGGGTTTTCTAGATACCAAGCGGTGAAGTGTGGTTTGAACTTTGTGTTCAATTTTGGTTGGGGGGGATTCAAATTTGCTTGGGTGGCTGGTTTTTGTGGTCGAAATGGGTGGGAAGGGGTTCTAATGGCGCGAAATTGAATTTCGCGTCAAAATGGCGAATTTCAATTTCGCACGCGCGATTTTTTTTTTCGGGCTGCCCGGAAAAAAAATCGCCCAAGCGTCTTGCGTCTAAAAGTGCGTCTTGCGTCTAGCGTCTAGACGCTGCGTCTAGACGCTAGACGCAAGACGCGTCGAGCGTCTTCCGCAACTAAGTTTGCAACCCACAAGTTGGGTACCTCCTCTTTGCAACCCACAAGTTGGGTATCTCCTCTTTGCAACCCACAAGTTGGGTACCTCCTCTTTGCAACCCACAAGTTGGGTACCTCCTCTTTGCAACCCACAAGTTGGGTACCTCCTCTTTGCAACCCACAAGTTGGGTACCCCCTCCTTGCAACCCACAAGTTGGGTACCCCCTCCTTGCAAGTTGCCATAGGGACTGCACAACCACCCAACTTTCCCCCTTCCCTTCCAAGCTCCTCTTGTATCCTATGTATGCTCTCTTGCATCCTATGTATGCTCTCTTGTTCCCTAATGAAGCTAATCATTCAGTTTACAATCTTCACACATCCATGACCATGTGGTAGAGGTCCGCTGTGATGGGCACGCACGGCTGGAGTGAAAGGGGCTATGCTACGCTAACACATGACCATATGCTGTGGTACACACACACACGTGGCTTCTTGAGACGTCTCAAAACACTTCTTCATACGCATGGCTACGCCACCCTATCACATGACCACATGCTGTGGTACACACACACAAACACGTGCATGCACCGCCAAGAGCACATGTTCATGTGCATCCTCTCCTCTCTTCTTCTCTCCTCTCCCCGCATCCCGCCTCTCCTTTCCTTTCCTCTCCCCATCTCACCTCGTTTCTCCATAGCCAGCAGCAGCTCCTCTGCCTTCTCCGCCTGCCCTGCCCGTTGGTATGCACTCATCAGGGCCTTGTAAGACTGCTCGCCTACCACTTCCTCCTGGTTCTTCCACGCAGCAGGCTGAAACTCCGTTCTTCCCAAAGCATCATCCTCCCCCAGCTCCTCCCTCCCTGCAAGCTCTACGTCGTTCATTCCCAAAGCACCACCGGACATCAGGCTCGTTCCCAAAGCTGCAGACTCGAGCTGAATATTCCTCCAGACCGCAAGTTCGGGCCGAGCCTGCGGTGCTGGGCTGGCGAAAGCCTCGTTCGCAAGGGCTTGGGCCATGCGCTGTGCTTCGTGAAATAGGTCTGGAAAGGGGAACGGGAGCGAGAGGAGCAGGGAAGGAGAGAGATGAACTTTGCATGTGCAGGAAAAAACAGGGCTTGGAGCATATGTGGTGCTGCATGAAATAGGACTGGGAGGGGGAAGGGGAGAGGGGGGAGGGGATAGAGGGAGAAAAACGTGGTGTGGAGGGAGAGCGGCAAGGCAGGGAGAAAATTGAGAAGAACCTAATTTTGAGTCGACTAAAAAAAAAAGAGGGGATAGAGGGAGAAAAAGGTGGAGGGAGAGCGGCAAGGCAGGGAGAGAAACGAGGTGAACCACAGTGACTCACCTTGAGCGTCCGTCCACCTGCCAGCAGCAGCGAGGCAGCGAATGACTGGCGCCAGGAGGCCGTCCCTCCCTCCATGGGAAGTGGCAATAAAACACTGTACCTCAGCCATTACTGACCTCGCTTCAGGGTTCAGATTATCCTTCTAAATAAATATTAACCGTACCCCAGCTAGTACTCACCTTGAGCGTAGGTCCACCTGCCAGCAGCAGCAAGGCAGCGAATGACTGGCGCCAGGAGCCCATCCCTCCCTCCATGGGAAGTGGCAACTAAACCCTGTACCCCAGACTGTATCGACTTCACTTCACAGTTGAAATCATCCTACTAACGTATTTTCACCGGGACTGACCTTGAGCGTCCCTCCACCTGCCAGCAGCGGCAAGGCAGCGAATGACAGATGCCAGCAGGCCATCCCTCCATGGGAGGCCGCGGGTGCTCATGGCACGCAGCACATGGATGGCTTCGGTGGGCATGCCCGCATGGGTGTACCTGGTGTGTTATGGGGTTTATATACGGTGTTATATTTGGTGTTGAGTGGGTGTTGAATGGGGCATATGGCATGGCATGTGAGGCATGGGGAATGTGCACAGCAGCACAGGTACAACGTGCGTTCATGGCATGCAGCATGTGGGTGGCCTTGCTGGGCATGCCCGCTTGGGTGTACCTGGTGTTATATGGGGTATATTTAGGGTGTTATATGGGGTTTATTTGCAGTGTTATACAGGGTTTATTGAAGATGTAATATGGGGTTCATTTAAGGTGTTATATGGGGTTCGTACAAGGTGCTACATGGGGTTAATTCAAGGTGTTATAAGGGGTATATTAAAGGTGTCACATGGGGTTCATATGAGATGTTACATGGGGCTTATTCAAGGTGTTATATGGTGCTCATTTAAGGTGTTACACGGGAATTGTATAAGGTGTTATATGGGGAGTAGATGATGCATGCACCATGAATAATGGGTCACAGGCATGTGCTATGATATGAGGCATGGCCATGAGGCCTGTGATCTGAGGCATGGCACTGAGTATGGGTTGGTGTGGCACATGGGACATTACAAAGGCAGCATATTACTCACAAAGACGCATGAATCGCCGTGATAAGAGTTCCCACCTCACACGCTTTGTCTATTCCTTAACCTCAAATTTGAAACTGGAAATTCCAACCTGACATGCCATGCCTTGCTAAATATTGAAACGCCTAGAAAAAAACAAAAACAACCGAGTGTTAGAGTCCCACTCACATGCGAATGAGGGCATGATATGTTGCTTCTGTTGGAGTGCAATCACTCCCTCTCCTCCTCCTCCCTCCCTTCCACTCGCCCTGTCCGCCCTTCCTCCCCACACTTCCCCCACCTTGATTACCCCACTCCCCTCCTCTCTCACCCCATTCCCCTCCTCTCTCTCCCCACTCCCCTCCTGTTTCCTCCTCCTCTTCTCCCCCATTCTCCTCCATCCACTCCCACACTCGCCCTGCCTTGTCATACGCCCCCACGCGACCATACAGCCCAATCATGCTGTTACACGTGGCAACATCCAATTGGAACCCTTGCTTCACCATCTCCCTCACCCCCTCTTCTGCCTCCCCTGCTCTCCCCTCTCTCGCCCAAGCCCGCACGATCCTTCTCAGAACCTTCTCAGGAACCTTCCATCCCTCCTCCCTCACCCTCTCACACGCCTCCTCCGCTTCCTCCACCCTTCCGTCCCTCAGATATGCCTCCACCAGAAGAAGACAAAATTGCCTGTTCGGCATGACTCCGACTGCTGCCATCCGGGAGGCAAGTGCTGATGCAGCATCTGACACTCGACCAAAAGAAGACAAAGAAAGTGACGCACGACGGTTGCCAGCTGGTGAGGACTCAGTGTCCATGTCAGCACGTCTGAACGCAGTCAGCGGCCAATCAGCATTGAGCAATGCACGCATGGCATGACAGAAAGCTGTTGCGTCCAACCAACTCCCGTCAACACTCACCCCTCTCTTGCCTACCCTTCTATCATTAGTTATTTCTCCGTGCCCTCTCGCTCCGTAACCCTCCTCTTCCCTCTCCCCCTCCCCCTCTTCCTCCTCCTCTCTCTCCTCTCCCTCCTCTTCCTCCTCTCCCCCCTCTTCCTCCTCCCCCCCACCCTCCTCCTTTTCCATCACTCCCAGCATCATCAGAGCCTCTGCTGCTCTCCCCTCTCTCCCACACCTTTCCAGGTACAGCAGCCGCTGCCTCGCTGGATTCTGCTTCTGCTGAACTGGATACTGCTCCTGCTTAGCTGGATCCTGCTCCTGCCTCGCTGGATCCCGCTCCTGCCAGATGGTTGATTCAGTTGGAGTGTCACCGTGTGGATGCAAACCCGCTTTGCTACTAACGAGTACAACGTGAGAGTCAGCATCCGAGAGAGTCACCGGCACATTGTCTGCTTCGCTATCAGTCATCACCGCGATTCCTCCTTTTTCCTCAACAATACCCTCAGAATTCCTGATTTGTTTATCCTCCATCCTCTGATTACTCCGTATTCTAAGTTTATCCTTATCATCCCCTCTCCTGGGAATGCGCATATTCTCTCCCCGTCTCCATACCTGTCTGACTACGCCGTTCCCTAATCTTCTACCCTCACTCCTAAAAACTCTTCTATCCTCTATCCTACCCTCTCTCGTATCCTTCATAGTCCGCCCTGCACCTCCGGGTCGCCCCTCCCGTTCATCCAGTCCCCGAGGCGCCTCCAGAATCATCTCTCTTTCCTACGCCATAGTCCTAACAGCAAATCTCGAAGCTTCCCTTCCATCCCCACCCCCATTACTGTGAGCCTCGTTTTCCTCCAAATAGCCTCGCTTTTCCGTCGCATCAGTACCCCAACGCTGCAAGCTGTATCTGGTTTGTACGCGTTGTACGCCGAGGTATATGTGCTGTATATTGAACCCGCGGTGTGCTACACTGCATCCGCGTTTCAAGCCGAGATACGGTTTGGAAGCCGGAATCCCAAGAAGCCTCGGGTTCGGATCGACGACTAAATTCGGGCACCCGATCAGTAAAACGCGGCTTGGATTTGGAGCGGCACGAGCGGAACAGGCCGCAAGGCGCATCGGGTCACACATTGAACAAAATGACGCCATTCTTGAGTATTCTTGAGTATTCTTGAGTATTTTCAAAGGAACTAAAGCAGGCGTTGAGGACCAGACCGCGAGCCGTTAGGGCAGCACTGGATTGGAACGGCGGGAACGGCGGAAACGGCGGAAACGGCGGGACCGACAAGGGTAGAAAGCCGTGAGGAGTCACACATAGCGTGAACGGGAAGTCGCTCGGCAGAGCAACACGTAGTGTCGTTTCTGGGAGGAGTGCTGCGGGCTGAAATGTTTCAATTGATGTTGCCAAATCACAACTTTAACGCCCGTGAAGGAGTGTAGTGATCTCAGCGGCTAGCAATTCGAGGTGATAAAGCGGATGATGAAGGAATATGAAGAAAAACTACGTTATAAACCGTACGTTAAATCTTCGAGAATCGTATCAACCGCCTTGCACCATTGTACATCTCACCCATGCGGATAGAGGTTTGCAGACGAACTGCTGCTGGTTGAACGCACTTAGCTCTCGAGAAAGTCGTCTGAATAATATCACGCTGTTTTCTACAGCAGTTGAATAACTAAAGAATGATTTATTGCATTGAACATCAAAATGGATTAAAAAAAAGCACGTGACATGCACTTCTAAGCATGAAATCAACAGAACAAACAGACCTCCCCAATAGAAGCCTTCTTAAAGCAAGCACTGTCCACATCACCGCATGCGGTAATGCTGGGTGCGAGACGCCTTACCTCTACGACCATCAAACTTGTAAGTCACGGATATGTCTAGATCGCGTGGGTTCTTCTCATTGGGCTTCACTTGCATGGTTCCGGTAATCGCTTCCCCTTCACACACGGTTAGGGTGTCTTCCAAGTATAGCACCGTTTGCTTCCAATGCGTGCCCCGGCTCTTGGGCCCTGCAGAAAAAAATCACAGCATAGGGTAAAAGGTTTTACTTTTGTAAACAAGTGTGTATATGAAGATGGATGGGAAAACAAAAGTATGGCGTTTAGCATAGAGTGAAGGAACATGGGGGAGCGATACGAGCGATCGCCAATGGAGGGTGTGGAAGAGGGGATAAAACTAGAAGACAATGTATCAGCGAACTTCAATGGGCTTGTATCAGACATGTTTGCTGACCTGTAGAGAAGCCAATGGGCTTGTGGCACTTGGTGAAACCGACATCAAAGTAAGCCACGAGAGCATGCACGAAGTCGTTCCTCTCCGCCACGAGCTTGAACGGCACTGAAAATGAGAGATCGCCCCTCGTCACCTTGCTAATGTCCAGCGACTGGAGTGGGGGGAAAGGGGATGGGGGGGATGGGAGGGTGGAGCAGGCAGGGAACGGGAGAAGGAGGGAAGAGAGGGCGATGAAAGAGGGAGTGAGGAAAGATTTCAGTAACTGTGCACGTACGAAGTCGTTCCTCTCCACGGCAAGCTTGAACGGCACTGCGAAGGAAAGGTCGCCCCTTGTCACCTTGCTGATGTCCAAAGACAGGTGAAACGGCAAGGGGAGGAGAGAAAAAAGGGGAGAGAAAAAAGGGGACAGAGGAGCAGTTTAGAGAGAACAGACTGAGGGAGGATGCGAATAAAGTCATTCCAGGTCTCAGGGTTTAGAGCTTTGAGAGGAGTGGTAATGAGAAGCCTAGTCCTCTCACCTTGACTTGACAAGGCAAGAGATGGTGACGATTTGCTCTGCATCAACGGTGTGGACTAGAGGCTCCAGCATGGCCTTGTCTCGGATGAGTGAACGAGAAGAGATAGGGAGGGGTGCGCGTGGGTCTTAAGGGGTGCATGAGGGTCCTAAGGGGTGCATGAGGGTCCTAAGGGGTGCATGAGGGTCCTAAGGGGTGCATGAGGGTCCTAAGGGGTGCATGAGGGTCCTAAGGGGTGCATGAGGGTCCTAAGGGGTGCATGAGGGTCCTTCTTCTCTCACCTTGACGAGGCAAGAGTTGGTGACGATCTGCTCGGCGTCTACGGTGTCGACCAGAGGCTCCAACATGGCCTTGTCTCGAATGCAGCTCATGTCAAACCCATACACTGACTGCCAGACTGCAGTGCAGAGGGGAGGGAGAGGAAGGGAAAACACACACACACACTTGAGTAGGGGAGGGGGGAGCTTGTCTCGAATGCAGCTCATGTCAAACCCATACATCGACTGCCAGACTGGAAAGGAGATGGGGGGGACGCACATGGGTAGGGGAAGAATGGTGGGAGGGGAATACACATGGGGAGAGGAGGGGACTATGCATGGTGCCTCCAACATGGACTTGTCACGAATGCAGCTCATGTCAAACTCATACACTGACTATCAGACTGGGAAGGAAAGAATCATGGGTATGGGGGTTGAAAGATCAAGTCCGTACACGGTAATCAACCACTTTATTGCGAAACTGGACAGGGCGAGCAAGAAGGGGAGCGAAACACGTGGCCTTGACAACACCCCCCCCGCAACCCCTTTTTCTTTGAAAATTGCATTGAAAAGTCTGAAATAAACCACTGTCTTTGCCCCTAGCACTCACAGTGGATATTCTCCTGCTTGTACTCTGCATCTTCTATCGCCATCAGGTAGGTACAGCATAATGGGGATAGGCAGCACACGGCCAGAGGATCCCCTTCCTACCCCTTTCCCCCTCCCTCTCCTCCTGTACTCACAATGGATCTTCTCCTGCTTGTACTCTGCATCTTCTATTGCCATCAGGTACAGGGAGCAGTGGTCTGGCAACACTATGCCTCCGTTTGCCTGTACATACATAACGTTGGCAACACGAGGAACATTCAGTGGGATGTAAGGGCAGGGAGAGAATGAGCAACGACACAGCACAACCATGTGCGTTCCAATATGGTTGTGCTGTGCTGCACCCAGAAAGCAAGCACCCACCCAGCCACTTGTCGCGTGCAAACAGCACAGTATCGAGCATAGACTCTTAGAAAAGGAAGTAGCCCATCCATCCACTCCGACTCAGCTGAAAAGTGCCAACACTGAGAATTGAACCCTGAAGCATCTGTATATTCATACAGTGCACACGCACCAGCCACTTGTCTCTGGCAAAGAGCACATTGTCAAGCATGGATTAATAGAGAAGTACCTAGCCCATCCACTCCCATGTGGTAACCCGGTTACACTCACCAGCCACTTGTCTCTGGCGAAGAGCACAGGGTCGAGCATGGATTCGTAGAGGAGGACGTAGCACATCCACTATGACACAGCTGGAAAGTGCCAACACCGAGAATTGAACCCTAAACCATCTGCATAATAACTCACCAGCCACTTGTCCCTTAGTCCCTTGCAGAAGCATGGACTCCTAGAGAAGAAAGTAGCACATCCACTCTCCCATCCCCTGTGGTAACCTGGTAGCCCTATAACATAGAAAAGGAAGCATCCCCATCCACGTACCAGCCACTTGTCTCTGGCGAACAGCACTGTATCGAGCATGGACTCGTAGAGCAGGAAGTAGCCCATCCACTCCGATATAATCACATCCACTTTCTCCCCTTCTGGCAACTCCACGTCCTCCACCTTCCCTTTGATCACCGTGATTACTGCGAAAGGAAGGAGAGAGGGGGGGTAGGGAGGGAGGCAGAAGGGGGTACGGAGGGTTGTGGAGGAGTGTGGTGTGGTGTGAAGGGGTGGTATTGACTTCACCTACTCCCTTCTGGCAAGTCCACGTCCTCAACCTTCCACTTTATCACCGTCATTACTACGAGAGGGGTGAAAAGGTGGAGTTGGGGGACGGGTTGCGGGGACGAGGGGCAAGGGTTGGGGGAATATGGGGGGGTAAGAAATGACAATTCCACGTCCTCTAACTTCCATGCACCGTTGTTATTGTATGAACCGAACTAAACCACGACAACGGTGATTACCCTGAACCCGAAACTAAGCTGGTTGCTCAACTCGAGGGCACTGGCCCAACACCCAAAACCCCTGTACCCGAAAACCAAAAGATGACACTGATTTTTGAGAAGTCTCAAAAGTCGGCCCAACACCCCAACCCTGAACCCTGACACCATGTAATGGGCCTTGTGAAACGCGAAAGAACGTGTTGACTCACTGTGGTCCATGTGATTGGCTGCCACGATTTCGCGCGCGCACTCGGCAATTTCTGAGCATTCCATCTGCATGGCACGGCACGGCATGGCACGGCACGGCATGGCACGGCACGGCACGGCACGACATGGCAGGACACGAGCTGGACTTAGGTGAGGATTTCATATTACGTCAAATCTTTGACACCATTTTTCAGCCCGTGACTTCCCACTTGGCAGTCTCTGGGCACTTCATTTGTATGGAACGGCTTTGAAATCATATATTCGACACCATATGTTTTAACAACGCGTGTAGAGGGAAGCCCTTACGCCATACAGAAGCAGCTCTTACCGCGTACACCTTCTTGGCTCCAGCCTTAGCAGCAAAGAGGGACAGAATCCCGGTACCAGCGCCGACGTCCATGACGACCTTGTCCTTTGAACAGAAACGTGCTCTCACACCTAACAGGCGCAAATACGTGCCGCACATCGAAGCAGCTCTTACCGCGTATACTTTCTTGGCGCCCGCTTTGGCGGCGAAGAGCGAGAGAATCCCAGTACCGGCGCCCACGTCCATGACGACCTTGTCCTTGAACAGAAACGTGCTGCCGCAGATGGCGGCTTCGTACGTCTTAGTGCGCACCGCGTCTTTCAACATCTCCTCGTGAATGCCTGCGCGGCGCAGGAAGGGGGGAAATGAAAAAAGGTAATTTCTGGGTGAGCAGGGGTTTAGGCAGAGCACCAATGGGTCTTGCGCTGAAGGGCGCTACGGGCAAAATTCGTTCGCACTCCAGCTTCGCCCCCATTCTCAACGCGCCTAGTCTTTCCTCATCTCCTCGTCATTAGACGGAGTGGCAGAGGCAACGAGGTCACACCCCGAAAGCCAGAAAGCATCCCCGAAGAGTGAAAGAATAAGTGGAAAAATCACATCACCATGATCTACATCCCCCAAGCGGGTGAACGGCAAATATGCTGCAAATTTACGAACTCGCGACGCTAGGAGAGAACAACTAGGCGGCGAAAAGGAGAGGAAGAGGGTTTGATAAAAAGAGGGGAAGTACCGAAGTGGGCGTACGAGTCGAAGTAATAATCGGCGCTCGTCAGGTCTTTATTCCCTGACGACGCTCCCCCGCCTCCCGCGCTGCTCTCCGGCGCTTGCGCCTCCGCTTGCGCTTCCTGCGCCGCCCCGCTAGTTTCCATCGGCTCCGCTGAAAGCTGCTGTTCCGCCTCCTCTCCCCCCGTCAATTGCGCCGCTTCCGCAGCCTCGGATTGCCCCGGCTGTTTCTGCTGCTGCTGCCGCTTCTTGCGCCTTTGCTGATTACCTGACGTCATGGCTACGACCTTATTGGTAGCTCGAAAGGAGGAATTATCACGGAGAGAGGATGTGGGGCGCGAAGGCTTGTGCACGTAAAATGACGGGTTTATGAACGAGCTAGGTATAAGAGCAATATTCATGGTTTTGCAGACTCGCAAGGAAAAAAGGAGTGAGGAGGGTTTTGAAGGTTTAGTTGGAATTCAGAAGGCTCGGGTTTTGGAATCGCGGTTTGAAGCGTTATTGCGTTCTGCGATACACTGACGAGAGGTTGAGTGAACTCACCTAAATCTTTTTTTTTATGCAGAATGCACTAAAATAATGCAAAGTACATCGGCACTCGTAACTGTAGCTGATGGGCCTAGGGGGTGCGAGCCCTCCGTAACCATCCTGAACCTCTAAGGAGGACGGAAGGCCGCCTTCGTATTGGACCAAATGGACATTAAACCCTGCGCCCACGTTGAGCTGTCAAGGACTCTGTCAAGAGCGCGGCGCTCTCCGTCATCCAACCCAGGATGGAAGGCCCCGGAATTCCGTGAGGCTGCCTTGGCACGCTTGTAGATACGCACATGCAGCTGGAACGCCGATATAATTCTCCGCAAAACTCTTCTTGCCCGGAAGGTGCTCCTCTCAAACACCGCATCACACCTCTCCACCCATATACGATGAAGCGCTATAGCCGTGAGTGTGGCCTCGGGGAAACCTGAAGCTGTACCTTCGCTCTGGAAAATCAGGTCGCCCAGCGACTCAATCTTCCGCCGCGCATTAAGCATGCGAAGCGCCTTCAAAAGTGTCCGGACCACCGGCTGGATACGTGGACAGAGAAAGAGCCCATGCTCCAGCGTCTCCTTTTCTCCGCAGTGCGGGCAGGCAACACCAGCGCCCAAGAAATGCAGGCGCTCCCCCACTTGAAGATTCCGGCTGTGAATTCGGAGCATCACATCCCGCGCTCGGTTCGGCAAGACGTCCGAATCACGCACACCAATCACCCTTCGCCAGTCAACATGCCTTCCCAGCAAATCCTCCCACGCATCCTAAATCAGCATTCGGTTTTTGGCAGCAGCTGCCCAATTTGACCCACTTCAAACGAATCTATCATGAATTGAAAACGGATGGAATATTGGTTTTTCCTTCCAAGTCTGTGTTTCATACAGTGTCGACACATGATACCGTACCTTTTTCAGCTCGTACAGAAATACCATTTGTTTCGATTAACACGTGTCGTTTCGGCATGGGAGATCGCTGCCAGGAAGCGAGGAGGAGTTGTCAGAATCCCAACCACTAGATCATTGGGATAAAAGAGCTTGTTAAGTAGCGGGTCAGTGCGCCCATAACCCCCCAGGCCAACATGCCTGTAACCCTTCCCTAAGATCAATCGGGGATCACCAGTGGACCTCTGACACCCATCCGCACTGGGATGCCCGAAGTGCACACACTGGGATTCGAACTCGAGACCTTCGCTCTGATACCATGTCAGAATCCCAACCACTAAACCATTGGGATAAAAGGGCTTGTTAAGTAGCGGGTCAGTGCGCCCATAACCCCCCAGGCCAACATGCCTGTAACCCTTCCCTAGGATCAATCGGGGATCACCAGTGGACCTCTGACAGGAGTTTCGGTGTGCGGTGACAAGTGGGCACACCTGGAGGACGACGAGGCAGGGATCATGAGACAAATATGCAGCAAGGCTGCACCACTGACGTGGAGGATAGGTTTCAGCTCTCTCTAGGACAACCCGACGCTGACACATCAACCGCCTTAGAGTGGCCGACGGGACCCGTGGTAACTGTTAACATGGCCCTCCCCTCCATACACAGTTACTTCTGCCGATGTCCTTAATGCATTCTTGTAATTTCTTAAAGAATAAAAAAAAAACTTGTTGTTTTGGATTTATAAAGAACGAGACTTATGACGCTTCAAGAGTGCAGCAATAACGAACTTAGACAGGAGAAGCAAAATTCGAGCCGTTCATGTGACAGCCAGCCAGCTTGGCCGTGGATTCGAGTCGCGCGAAGTATGATTTCCGTCCTTCACGCACAAAATACCTATTCCTAGAGCAAGAACTACGCGTGCGTCATCTGTCATATTTTCGCGGCCTAAAAATCACGTTGAGCTCTGTTTGAAGCTAACCGTTGCTAGTTGTGAAGTCTCAACTGCCATTGCGTTAATTCACCTGCAACAGCGATTGCGAGACAAACTGTAAGCCGCCTGTAGGATTCGCGAGGATGGCCAGTACTGCGGCCGTCAATACCGAGGCCAGCCCGTCGTTGCATCATGACATCACGGCTGCTCACGAGCCCGAATCCGCGACTGACATCTGTCGTTTGCCGTTCGAGGTACGGCATTCTGAGCGTTCGAGAACCTTTCTACCAGTCGAATTTGGATCTACCTTATTTGTATCCGATGTGTCACATTGTGCATCTTTATTGTCAGTCTGATTAGGTGTGATTCCACTTTAAGTGGGCCACGAATTCGTTATATATAGTACTCCTTGAATGATACCACGCCGTTGATTTCATGCTGTTCTGTCCATCCAACGGCTCCCCTCCCTGCAGTTGTGGGCTCGTGCCTTGAGCCATCTGTCATTGGCTGACAGGGCGCACGCCGCCATGTCATGCTCCCTCATGCGCCACGCTGTCAACAGGTGAGATAAGTGCCACGCTGGTTGGCAACATGTGAGGTAAGTGCCTCGCTGGCGACATCTGAGGTAAGTGCCACGCTGGCGACAGCTGAAGTTATTGCCACGTCAGCAACAGGATGGTAATTGCCATGTCATCGTTCTATCCAGAACGCCCTAATCTACATCAGGGCTTGCTTCATGATTTTTCCTTGCTTCCGGTTTCCCCACCAGCCTGTCAAATCAAATCTGACAGCACACTGACGTGTCACTTTTCTTCATTGCACGTCGGTATACCATCCCTCCGCTCCTTCTTTTCCCCTCTTTTCCCCCACCCCCCCCCCTCTCAGTTTGCTCCTTACCCTGCTCTTCCTGCTCCCAAGGCCGGAAGCCCCTGTCTCACCAACGCTGAATTCACTGCGCTCTGCCCCTCTCTCCCCTCCATCGCTTTTCCCCTTTCACTCCATCTCCCTCCCAGTCTGCTCCCTGCCTTGCCATTCGTCGACCTCAAGGCTGGAAGCACCTGTCTCACCAACATCAACGCGATCTGACAACGCATTCTCCTTCTTTCCTCTCCCTTCCTCCCCTCCGTCTCCCCCTCCCTCTCCTCCCACTCTCCTCCCTGCACTCCCTTTCCTCGACCTCAAGGCTGGAAGCCCCTGCATCAACGACGCTGCATTTGCTCTCCCACTCTCTCCCTCCCTCCCTCGTCCCCTTCCCTTCCCCTCCATTCTTCTCCCAGTCTGCTCCCTGCACTGACATTCCTCGACCTCAAGGCAGGAAGCCCTGGCCTCAATGATGCCGCCTTTGCTGCACTCTGCTTCAGGCTGGGAGCTGCTGGGACCAAGGAGGGTGGGGGAGGAGGGAAAGGCAAGGAGGAGGTGGGGAAGGGAGAAGCGGGGAGGAAGAGGGGGAGGGTGGAGGAGAAGGAGGAGGAAGAGGAAAGGCGGAAGGATGGGAGCAGGGATCAGGAGCAGAATCGGATTCAGGATCAGAATCAGAATCAGAATCAGAATCAGGATCAGGATCGAGGTGCTGGTGGTGTGAGGAGTGAGGGGGAGACGGGCGATGTGGCGGGCAGGAGACGTTGCTGCTTGCAACGATTGGAGCTGGTAATCGGGTATTGGTAACCAATCAGTAGGTAAGTGGGTTTTTTGAACCACCCACGGACTGATAACAGCCCACAGAGTTGACTGTGGTCTTGGGCTCTAGTCAGTGGCTAGGATCCTACATGACCAGCCATGGATTATTTAAGGGGCTCAGAGGTCGTCCCATGCTTTTCAGAATCAGATAGGGTTCTGAACCTTTCCCCAGTTGTCAGCCCTCCAAGCTGTTTTTTTTTTTATTTTCTTTTCTTTTCTTTTCCGCTGTTGCTCACCACCATCCGTGTGCGTCCATTCCATCTATCACTGTTACGTTATGTCCTTGTTGTTCCGTCTGCTGCCAGGACTGCTGGCATCTGAGCGACAGGTGCACGTCTGTACTACTTTGGAGAGCATAGAGGAGCTGGCGCTGTGTGGCGCAGACAAGCACACCCTTTATCATTCTCATTGCTCTTTTGCTGCTCCTCTTCACGCCTCATTTTCTGTTGCCAGGACGGCTGGCATCTGAGTGACAAATGCACGTCCATACTACCGGAGAGCATTGAGGAGCTGGCGTTGTGTGGCGCAGACAGGCACACAGACGCCCTCATTCATGGTGAGCTCAGTTGACCCTAAGATTAATATAATATATATATATATGTACATATATATACGCCTCACAAATGGCATTAAGAGCTGCCTCTCAATTCGTTTGTGTGACGCATGCATGCACGCAGACGCCCTCATTTACTGTGAGCACGGTTGATTTGGGGCGATAGAACCTTGCGAGGCCTTTGAAGCCTTTACTCCTCATGATTTTAAAAATCTCCTTCTCACCTCATTACCTTGTCTTTTGAGTCGACTCAAAAATCTCCTTCTCACCTCATTACCTTGTCTTTTGAGTCGACTCAAAAATCTCCTTCTCACCTCATTACCTTGTCTTTTGAGTCGACTCAAAAATCTCCTTCTCACCTCATTACCTTGTCAGCTCACCTTTCCTCCACCAAGCCGGCCCAGACGCTCTCGTTTTTTGTCATTTTCCCCACTTTGCTCGTTGAGGTCATTGAGGATGTTTCAGAGCTCGTCCCCACCATAGTGCCCACCACGTTTACTTCCTGCTTCCCGCTTGCCTGGCCACCGCTCCTTCGTTTCACCAAACCTGGCGTACAGGCCCGTCCCGTACCTGACGAATATCGCCTTCTCTGATTTCAGTCGGTTCATAAGCTTGCGCTTTGTTTCCCTGCTCTCCGTCTCTTTCCCTTGCTCCCAGGCCTGGCAGACAGGCTTGGCCCGAACCTAACCAAATTCGCCTTCTCCGGCTTCAGCCGGTCCATAGGCTCGGACCCCTTCGTCTCGCTTCTCTCCGTGTCACCTCGCCTCGTGTCTCTCGCCATCGATGGAGGGGAAGGGCTGGATGTGGATACTATCGTGATCACTGCTGGGATGAGCTGTCCCTTGCTGAGAGAGCTCAGTGTCTATGACATGTCCCTGGTGAGCCTCTACCTGCGATCAAACCCCCCTCCTCTCTTTCCCTCGCCTTCCCCTCACCTCGCCCCTCGCCTCGCCTCGTGTCTCTCGCCATCGATGGGGGGGAAGGGCTGGATGTGGATACTATCATGATAATTGCTGGGAGGAACTGTCCCATGCTGAAAGAGCTCAGTGTCTATGACTTATCGATGGTGAGTTGGACAATTTTCTGGTCGTTGTAGTCTGTCTAGTCATCATAAAGGCGGTATTTTATAGGCCCTCAGTTGAATTTTAGCTCTCCATGCGATCTAGGGCTAATCGCCAACGAAGATCAACATTGGCCAAACCTAAGCGCATCATTTTAACCTGATTGTTGAATAGAGCGTAGCATTGGCCATACCATAGACGGTATTGAACCCACCTCTCGAAGTAGGGTTTCGGCTCTAGGGGCAGCACTTTTGCACGGGCAAAAAAATCGTTGTTTTTTCGGAGTGTTTCCAAGAAAACCACGGAAAATGTTTCCATAGCAGTGTTTTGTAAGCTCTCGGTGTAGGCACCCCCAAAAAAATCAACCGAGTTCACCCTTTCGGGGTGCTTCTTAGACTAGGCAAAAATGTTATTCCTTTTACTTGAGGCAAATGTTTATCACTTGCCTCCGGTCCAGTTTGCATCAGCGATTTTCCTTTGCGTGTGCTTGCGTAAAAAAATTTCCGGTTCTGTCGAGGAGATCTGCTTTTCGTCAACCCGCAACCCACTCGAATGTGTACCCTCGCTAATGAACCGAACGAGTGCTCATGAAGAACCTTTTTTGCACATGTCTAGGTTGGCCTCGCATGCATGCACGCCTACTCGCCAAGTGTTGGAAAATCGATACTTGTTGAGATCTATTGCCTAGTACGGCTGTACTCAACGGCTTTAGGCAGTTGATCGCACATGCATGCCGCCCGCAGTCTGCCCTCCAGGGCGTCGGTCGACGTCTCCCAGGGGATTGGCAGGGGATTTGCAGCAGCAAAACAATCCTCGTACGAATGTATTACCCACGGAACTGTACATGTCATTTGAGCAGCAGGCAGTCCTAGAGAACATAGATAGGCTCTAATCAACTAATGAAGGAGGCTGCCACAGCGACCAGCATGCTCCAGCAAGACCTAGCTCGAAAGAGGGCCTATAGGAGCCTATCTATGCTCTCTAAGACTGGTTGCTGCTCAGATGGCATGTACGGCCCCGTGGGTAATATATCCATATGAGCTAATTTTGCTGGTGCAAACCCTCTTCCAAGTTCCAACCCCTTGGGAGATGTCGACCGACGTCCTGGAGGGAAGACATGCAGGCGACATGCCTAAATTTGCTGAGTTCAGTTCAGCCATTCATAGTAAAAAATCTCAACAGGTTTCGATTCTCCAACACTTGGCGATTAGGCGTGCGTACATGCGAGACCCACCTAGACATGTGCAAAAGGACGCTTCGTGTGCCCTCTTTCGCTTTTTTTAGCGAGAATACACTTTTGGGTAGGTTTGGGGTTGACAAAAACCAAGTTTCCTTGGCAAAACCGGAGAAATTTGCACAATATCACACGCAAAGGAAAATCACAATATCACACGGAAAGGAAAATCACCAATGCAAACTGTACTAGGGACAAGTGATAGACCTTTGTTCTGCTTGATTCATACACACCCTTCCTTCCCAACACACCAGATACACCCCGTCTGTCCCCCCTCACTCACGCCGGAACGTTGATCCACACCGAAACTGTGATAATTCCACACCCCTTATCTTCACGCCCGGGGGTAGCCACCCTCATTTAGTCTGATTTTGGGAGTGGTTCAGAGGATTATTTGAATTATCGAGGTTACAATCACGCAATCCCGTGGCGGATTTCCCGAAGTACAAGCATGACAGTGGAGATTTCCCCCTCTCAATCTGATGTAAAGTTTGAGTTTCGTGAGGCTGGCCGTTCCGGTTATCTAATTATAGACCCATAATTTCAGGGTGCCTGTGTCGTCGAACCGAAAGCCATTTAGGGTGTCTGGCTAGGGAAGCGTACGGGGTGTGGAATTATCGCAGTTTCGGTGTACCTGGCCAGTTGCCCCCTGCCCTGCGTCACTCACTTGCGGCACAAGAGTCGGCATAAAATGGGCGAGGGTGAGCGACGCCCTCTTCTTGATTGATTCGATACACCCCTCCCACCCCCACCCCCACCCCTCTCCTCTCCGGTCCCCACCCAGGTGACACTGGACTACCTGGCCAGTTGCCACCTGTCCCATCTCACCCGCTTCCGGCACAAGAGGCGGCACGAGCGGGGCGTGGGGGTGAGCGACTCGCTGCTGCTACGGCTGATGCTGCTGTGGCCAGGGCTGGAGGAGCTGGTGCTGGTGGATAAGGCAGCAGAGGGCGTGGGGCAAGGGAGAGCAGAAGAGGTGAGTCAGGCCACACGAATGAGGTCTGGGGGTTGCTGAGTGATGCTGTGTGCTGCTGCTAAAACTCGTGCTGCTCTGGCCTCGTTTTGAGACGTCTCAAAACAAGGGAGAGCAGAAGAGGTGAGTCAGGCCACACGAATGAGGTCTGGGGGTTGCTGAGTGATGCTGTGTGCTGCTGCTAAAACTCGTGCTGCTCTGGCCTCACCTGGAGGAGCTGGTGCTGGTGGATAAGGCAGCAGAGGGATGGGGGCAAGGGAGAGCAGAAGAGGTGAGTCAGGCTGGTTGGTCGTATATTTTTTACATGAGTGATTTCTGGGAGTGAGCGAGTGATGCAGTGCTGCTGTTGCTAAGGCTCGTGCTGCTCTGGCCGGGGCTGGAGGAGCTGCTGCTGGTGGATAAGGCAGCAGAGGGCTGGGGGCAAGTGAGAGGAGACGAGGTGAGTGGGTGGGGTGGGGATGAGGGTGGCTGGAAAATGTTCAGGCAATAGTGTGGGATTAGTGAGTGAGTGAGCTAGTGAGTGAGTGAGTGAGTGAGCGAGTTAGTGAGTGAGCGAGTTAGTGAGTGAGCGAGTGATTGTGATTGCGTGGGTGGGCGTGTGATTGAGTGGGTGAGTGAGTGAGTGAGTGAGTGAGTGAGTGAGTGTGTGCATGTGTGTTTTGACTTATTTCAGAGACGCCTCGTGATCTGTTCTCTCCAAGCAGCTCTTAGAAAACAGGTGCTTTCCCTCCCTCCCTCCCTCCCTCCCTCCCTCCCTCCCTCCCTCCCTCCCTCCCTACTCCACCCCACAGGCCCTCACAGACACAGGTCTCCTCATGCTAACCACTTGTGCAGATTCGCCCACATCCCTCACTCTGTACCTTCCATCCTTCCCTCCCTCCCTGCCTGCCGCACCTCGCCACCCAGCAGGTCCTTTCAGACACAGGTCTCCTCATGCTCACCACTTGGGCTTCTTCACTCACATCCCTCACTCTGAGCCTGCCTTTCCTCTCTGCCTCTCCCCATGCACAATTCTGTATCCACGCCACCCAGCAGGCCCTTTCAGACACAGGTCTCCTCATGCTCACCACTTGGGCTTCTTCACTCACATCCCTCACTCTGTACCTTCCATCCTTCCCTCCCTCCCTGCCTGCCGCACCTCGCCACCCAGCAGGTCCTTTCAGACACAGGTCTCCTCATGCTCACCACTTGGGCTTCTTCACTCACATCCCTCACTCTGAGCCTGCCTTTCCTCTCTGCCTCTCCCCATGCACAATTCTGTATCCACGCCAACCAGCAGGCCCTTTCAGACACAGGTCTCCTCATGCTCACCGCCTGGGCTCCCTCCCTCACAACCCTCACTCTCAGCCTGCCCTCCCTCTCTGCCTCAAAACGCTGCTCTGAAGTGGCGCTAATGCAAGGTAAGCGCGGTTCAGTGCAGTGGAGCGTGGTTAATTGAGATTCACCAGTTTGGATTTGAGCTCACATCCCTCACTCTCAGCCTGCCGTCCCTCTATGCCTCAAAACGCTGCTTTGAAGTGGCGCTAATGCAAGGTAAGCGCGGTTCAGTGTGGTGGAGCGTGGTTAATTGAGATTCACCAGTTTGGGTTCTCAGCCTGCCCTCCCTCTCTGCCTCAAAAATCTGCTCTGAAGTGGCGCTAATGCAAGGTAAGCGCGGTTCAGTGCGGTGGAGCGTGGTTGAATGAGATTCACCAGTTTGGGTTTGAGCTCACATCCCTCACTTTCAGCCTGCCCTCCCTCTCTGCCTAAAAAATCTGCTCTGAAGTGGCGTTAATGCAAGGTAAGTGCGGTTCAGTGCGGTGGAGCGTGGTTAATTGAGATTCGCCAGTTTGGGTTTGAGCTCACATCCCTCACTCTCAGCCTGCCCTCCCTCTCTGCCTCAAAACGCTGCTCTGAAGTGGCGCTAATGCAAGGTAAGTGCGGTTCAGTGCAGTGGAGCGTGGTTGAATGAGATTCACCAGTTTGGGTTTGAGCTCACATCCGTCACTCTCAGCCTGCCCTCCCTCTCTGCTTCAAAACGCTGCTCTGAAGTGGCGTTAATGCAAGGTAAGCGTGGTTCAGTGCGGTGGAGTGTGGTTGAATGAGATTCACCAGTTTGGGTTTGAGCTCACATCCCTCACTCTCAGCCTGCCCTCCCTCTCTGCCTCGAAAAGCTGCTCTGAAGTGGCGCTAATGCAAGGTGAGCGCCGTTCAGTGTGGTGGAGTGCGGTTGAACCGCAGCTGCAACAGTGGCTCTTTGCCCCAAAACTCAACCCCCCTCTCTTACCCTGGCCTTCCCTCCCTCCCTGCCTCAAAACGCTGCTCTGGAGTGGCGCTTATGAAAAGTGAGCTCTATTTAGTGTGGTAGAGTGCGGTTGATTGTGGTTTACCAGTCTGCCAAGGGTGAACATGCGTCAATGGAGAGCAGTGGACAGTGGTCTAGTGCGGTACATGCATCATAGTAAGACCTGGAGTGGAGTGTGGTGATGCTACATGGGTGGTGGTGGTGCCACGAATGCACGCAACACAACATGGTTTAGACCTCTCTCCATCAATGTTTCCTCTTCGGTGTGAATCCCAACCCCCGAAAAAACTGGCGTGCTGATTGTTGAATCCACTTAAAAAAATGTTTTTAGACCTCTCTCTGTCGAGTGTTCGCCCTTCGCTGTGAGCCCAACCCCCAAAATCTAGGCGTTTTGTTATATGATTTTCAAGTTTCATCCACTGCACGTCATCGTCTGCCCTCCATCCCTCATCGCCATATCAACCCCTGTGGCCAGTGCGTGCACCAGTCGCGCACTCACCTCCGCTTCTCCGATTAAGTTTCGAGCCGCCTCACACAAACCATATCCCCATTTTCCATCCCTCATCTCCATGCCAACCGCAGTTGCCAGTGCGTGCACTATCTCACCCACCTCGATCTCGCCAATTTCAGATGCATGCCCGACCCACCTGCCCCTGCACAAGTTTGAGGCTGGGGATTGGGTGATTTTGCATCTCCCATCTCCCATCTCCCATCTCCCATCTCCCATCTCCCATCTTCCATCTTCTCATCCCCCCACCCCTTCCGTTCCACCCCCCTACAGTGGCCAGTGCGTGCACCAATCTCACTCATCTCGACCTCTCCAATTTCAGATGCATGTCCGATCCGCCTCTGCATGAGTTCGTTTCTGTGAGTCGCTCGGATAATCCTTGCACATTGTGCATTGTTGCTCATTGTGTTTATGTTCATCACATTGTGCATTGTTGTCGCTTCACACTGTAAACATGTTTGGCAACAGAAGAGAAGCTTTTCAAATTTGAAGCAGCAGAAAGAAGGGCTTTCATTTTCTATTTTACTTCCCCTCCCTCCCCTCCATTCCTCCCTCTCCCCTCCCCAGCGCTGTCCCTCGCTCGCCCATCTCTCTCTAGCCGGTGCGACCATCACCGATGCTTCCTTGGACCTCATAGCCTCGCACTGCCCCAACCTCCTGTCCCTCTCCATCAAGTGCTGTCGCAAGGTGAGCTTGGGGCGAGGTGGGGTGAGGTATGAGGTGGGCTGAGAGAGCATGGACCAGAGCAAGCATGCCTTGTTGGATCTCATCGCCTCGCACTGCCCCAACCTCCAGTCCCTCTCCATTAAATGCTGTCGCAAGGTGGGTTTGGGGCGAGGTGAGTTGGGGCGATGTGAGGTGGAGCGAGGTGAAGTGAGGTGACTTTTGAGTCGACTCAACAGTGAGGTGACTTTTGAGTCGACTCAAAAGTCAACTCGCGAGGTGAAGTGAGGTGAAGTGAGGTGAGGCAACAACTGAACACAGATCAGAGCAAGCATGCCTCCTTGGATCTCATAGCCTCGCACTGCCCCAACCTCCAGTCCCTCTCCATCAAGTGCTGCAGCAATGTGGGTTCCGGCCCATGTGGGGCATAGCAAGGCAGTGTGATATGTTCGAGCCACCTTGACACGTGCTTACTTGTGAAACACCTCACTGCATCGCACCTTGCCCCAACCCAGCCTCGTGCTATTTGAATTTTGAGGTGCTGCTTCAAGGGGAGTTCCAGGTATGATGCATTTCGTCCTCTTTTCACCTACACACGCACATGCTTCTCCTCCAGCTTCTTGAGAAAGCCAGCATGTCCCTGGCTTGCTTTTGAGGCTTCTCAAAACTCTTGATGCCAATCAGACGTCTCTGCCCTGCTCCTCTTCCTCATTTCACCTACACTCTTCTTGTTCCTCATTTCACCTACACTCTTCTTGTTCCTCATTTCACCTACACTCTTCTTGTTCCTCATTTCACCTACACTCTTCTTGTTCCTCATTTCACCTACACTCTTCTTGTTCCTCATTTCACCTACACTCTTCTTGTTCCTCATTTCACCTACACTCTTCTTGTTCCTCATTTCACCTACACTCTTCTTGTTCCTCATTTCACCTACACTCTTCTTGTTCCTCATTTCACCTACACTCTTCTTGTTCCTCATTTCACCTACACTCTTCTTGTTCCTCATTTCACCTACACTCTTCTTGTTCCTCATTTCACCTACACTCTTCTTGTTCCTCATTTCACCTACACTCTTCTTGTTCCTCATTTCACCTACACTCTTCTTGTTCCTCATTTCACCTACACTCTTCTTGTTCCTCATTTCACCTACACTCTTCTTGTTCCTCATTTCACCTACACTCTTCTTGTTCCTCATTTCACCTACACTCTTCTTGTTCCTCATTTCACCTACACTCTTCTTGTTCCTCATTTCACCTACACTCTTCTTGTTCCTCATTTCACCTACACTCTTCTTGTTCCTCATTTCACCTACACTCTTCTTGTTCCTCATTTCACCTACACTCTTCTTGTTCCTCATTTCACCTACACTCTTCTTGTTCCTCATTTCACCTACACTCTTCTTGTTCCTCATTTCACCTACACTCTTCTTGTTCCTCATTTCACCTACACTCTTCTTGTTCCTCATTTCACCTACACTCTTCTTGTTCCTCATTTCACCTACACTCTTCTTGTTCCTCATTTCACCTACACTCTTCTTGTTCCTCATTTCACCTACACTCTTCTTGTTCCTCATTTCACCTACACTCTTCTTGTTCCTCATTTCACCTACACTCTTCTTGTTCCTCATTTCACCTACACTCTTCTTGTTCCTCATTTCACCTACACTCTTCTTGTTCCTCATTTCACCTACACTCTTCTTGTTCCTCATTTCACCTACACTCTTCTTGTTCCTCATTTCACCTACACTCTTCTTGTTCCTCATTTCACCTACACTCTTCTTGTTCCTCATTTCACCTACACTCTTCTTGTTCCTCATTTCACCTACACTCTTCTTGTTCCTCATTTCACCTACACTCTTCTTGTTCCTCATTTCACCTACACTCTTCCTCTTCCTCATTTCACCTACACTCTTCTTGTTCCTCATTTCACCTACACTCTTCTTGTTCCTCATTTCACCTACACTCTTCTTGTTCCTCATTTCACCTACACTCTTCTTGTTCCTCATTTCACCTACACTCTTCTTGTTCCTCATTTCACCTACACTCTTCTTGTTCCTCATTTCACCTACACTCTTCTTGTTCCTCATTTCACCTACACTCTTCTTGTTCCTCATTTCACCTACACTCTTCTTGTTCCTCATTTCACCTACACTCTTCTTGTTCCTCATTTCACCTACACTCTTCTTGTTCCTCATTTCACCTACACTCTTCTTGTTCCTCATTTCACCTACACTCTTCTTGTTCCTCATTTCACCTACACTCTTCTTGTTCCTCATTTCACCTACACTCTTCTTGTTCCTCATTTCACCTACACTCTTCTTGTTCCTCATTTCACCTACACTCTTCTTGTTCCTCATTTCACCTACACTCTTCTTGTTCCTCATTTCACCTACACTCTTCTTGTTCCTCATTTCACCTACACTCTTCTTGTTCCTCATTTCACCTACACTCTTCTTGTTCCTCATTTCACCTACACTCTTCTTGTTCCTCATTTCACCTACACTCTTCTTGTTCCTCATTTCACCTACACTCTTCTTGTTCCTCATTTCACCTACACTCTTCTTGTTCCTCATTTCACCTACACTCTTCTTGTTCCTCATTTCACCTACACTCTTCTTGTTCCTCATTTCACCTACACTCTTCTTGTTCCTCATTTCACCTACACTCTTCTTGTTCCTCATTTCACCTACACTCTTCTTGTTCCTCATTTCACCTACACTCTTCTTGTTCCTCATTTCACCTACACTCTTCTTGTTCCTCATTTCACCTACACTCTTCTTGTTCCTCATTTCACCTACACTCTTCTTGTTCCTCATTTCACCTACACTCTTCTTGTTCCTCATTTCACCTACACTCTTCTTGTTCCTCATTTCACCTACACTCTTCTTGTTCCTCATTTCACCTACACTCTTCTTGTTCCTCATTTCACCTACACTCTTCTTGTTCCTCATTTCACCTACACTCTTCTTGTTCCTCATTTCACCTACACTCTTCTTGTTCCTCATTTCACCTACACTCTTCTTGTTCCTCATTTCACCTACACTCTTCTTGTTCCTCATTTCACCTACACTCTTCTTGTTCCTCATTTCACCTACACTCTTCTTGTTCCTCATTTCACCTACACTCTTCTTGTTCCTCATTTCACCTACACTCTTCTTGTTCCTCATTTCACCTACACTCTTCTTGTTCCTCATTTCACCTACACTCTTCTTGTTCCTCATTTCACCTACACTCTTCTTGTTCCTCATTTCACCTACACTCTTCTTGTTCCTCATTTCACCTACACTCTTCTTGTTCCTCATTTCACCTACACTCTTCTTGTTCCTCATTTCACCTACACTCTTCTTGTTCCTCATTTCACCTACACTCTTCTTGTTCCTCATTTCACCTACACTCTTCTTGTTCCTCATTTCACCTACACTCTTCTTGTTCCTCATTTCACCTACACTCTTCTTGTTCCTCATTTCACCTACACTCTTCTTGTTCCTCATTTCACCTACACTCTTCTTGTTCCTCATTTCACCTACACTCTTCTTGTTCCTCATTTCACCTACACTCTTCTTGTTCCTCATTTCACCTACACTCTTCTTGTTCCTCATTTCACCTACACTCTTCTTGTTCCTCATTTCACCTACACTCTTCTTGTTCCTCATTTCACCTACACTCTTCTTGTTCCTCATTTCACCTACACTCTTCTTGTTCCTCATTTCACCTACACTCTTCTTGTTCCTCATTTCACCTACACTCTTCTTGTTCCTCATTTCACCTACACTCTTCTTGTTCCTCATTTCACCTACACTCTTCTTGTTCCTCATTTCACCTACACTCTTCTTGTTCCTCATTTCACCTACACTCTTCTTGTTCCTCATTTCACCTACACTCTTCTTGTTCCTCATTTCACCTACACTCTTCTTGTTCCTCATTTCACCTACACTCTTCTTGTTCCTCATTTCACCTACACTCTTCTTGTTCCTCATTTCACCTACACTCTTCTTGTTCCTCATTTCACCTACACTCTTCTTGTTCCTCATTTCACCTACACTCTTCTTGTTCCTCATTTCACCTACACTCTTCTTGTTCCTCATTTCACCTACACTCTTCTTGTTCCTCATTTCACCTACACTCTTCTTGTTCCTCATTTCACCTACACTCTTCTTGTTCCTCATTTCACCTACACTCTTCTTGTTCCTCATTTCACCTACACTCTTCTTGTTCCTCATTTCACCTACACTCTTCTTGTTCCTCATTTCACCTACACTCTTCTTGTTCCTCATTTCACCTACACTCTTCTTGTTCCTCATTTCACCTACACTCTTCTTGTTCCTCATTTCACCTACACTCTTCTTGTTCCTCATTTCACCTACACTCTTCTTGTTCCTCATTTCACCTACACTCTTCTTGTTCCTCATTTCACCTACACTCTTCTTGTTCCTCATTTCACCTACACTCTTCTTGTTCCTCATTTCACCTACACTCTTCTTGTTCCTCATTTCACCTACACTCTTCTTGTTCCTCATTTCACCTACACTCTTCTTGTTCCTCATTTCACCTACACTCTTCTTGTTCCTCATTTCACCTACACTCTTCTTGTTCCTCATTTCACCTACACTCTTCTTGTTCCTCATTTCACCTACACTCTTCTTGTTCCTCATTTCACCTACACTCTTCTTGTTCCTCATTTCACCTACACTCTTCTTGTTCCTCATTTCACCTACACTCTTCTTGTTCCTCATTTCACCTACACTCTTCTTGTTCCTCATTTCACCTACACTCTTCTTGTTCCTCATTTCACCTACACTCTTCTTGTTCCTCATTTCACCTACACTCTTCTTGTTCCTCATTTCACCTACACTCTTCTTGTTCCTCATTTCACCTACACTCTTCTTGTTCCTCATTTCACCTACACTCTTCTTGTTCCTCATTTCACCTACACTCTTCTTGTTCCTCATTTCACCTACACTCTTCTTGTTCCTCATTTCACCTACACTCTTCTTGTTCCTCATTTCACCTACACTCTTCTTG